AATACGACGATGAAAGTATAAAGTGGAATCTTTAACGACAATCTTGGATGTTCTATACAACTCATTTCACCACGACGCGTTTTGTTTTACACAAGGGAAGTTTCATTTGCACCGGAAACAACCGGGGCCGCGCCGTGAGATCGGTAAACAAAACCAGCTTAGTATTTTCGCATATACCTAGCACTGTTACCTCTTGTTTACTGAGTCTTCTAACATACTCGTACCTATAAATTTTTAAATCCGGCTTTCAGAGATAATGTCGAGTTTAAACTAAGACTTCACAATGTCTAAGTGTATTGTGTGGTTGAGTATAATATATTTTAAGCGCGATATTGTCTCTGAATATCATCCTACGTCTACCCTCCTCGCAAGTGTCCCGCAGTCAATTTAATGCAAAATACGCATACGCAATACGCCTCTTTATGCGTTTTCACTTTCGCCGGTCTAGTATTTATTCATATGTTTTAAATTTTTACCTATTCGCATTTATTACTAAAATACTTTGAAAAGTTCCATTAAACATAAACGGTGACCGGTTTTGTGGTCAATACAGTTTTTTTTTTAAAAATAAAACTGAGTAATATAAAAAAAAATACTTATATAGAAGGGACCAGTTGAGATGGGGTAGCAGTAAGAAAATATGAGAGCAAATTCCTCAAGTGTGTCATTTGATGCAATTATATTATACTCTTGACATATTTTTGCAAAAATGAGTCAGTTCAAGTCCCAAAGGGAGTAAGACGTTTTTCTAAAATCTTAATACATTGAAATGTAGTTGTTATCTTTGTGTAGTGGCGGTGTAAGAATATCCACTACCCATATCACTCCGTGGGTGTCGTAAGAGGCGACAGAGGGAAACAAATCAGGAGATGGGCAGCAGCGCCTTCCTAATAACGACTACGAATACGAACCGCTTGCAAAGCGTATCAACTGTGGCAAATACCCATAGTTGGTACGCTTTGCAGGCATATATTATGGTGAGGCCTATTTTCAGCCTTAATAGGCTGTAACTGTAGTAGTTATTCTTAGCAAAATCAATGGAGTATTTAAGTAAATTTCTCTTTGGTATTTCCTCCACCTTAACGTTGCTGTTACTGGATTGAAATGTACGTATGGGTGAGTGTATTTCTTTTTAAAACGGCAACCTCACTCGCACACAATACCCTGCTATCTAACGAAACAGATTTCTGGTCGGCAAATCGCGGTAAAATTTGAAACTTCTGTAGTTAAGTCTCAAATGTGAAATTGGTTACAGGCAGCAGCATTACAAGTGCAAGGCTATCAGCTCTATGCTCACCAACTCGCCCGCCCAACAGCGTAGTGAATATAAGCAAAACTAATAGAATCAGGCGTTATTTTGCGGAAGTCCATTATATTAAAGTTGGCAAAAAATACATTGCGTACATCCGCTCAATAAAATAAAATGATGTGTCTTACCTAGTTTGAAGAGCACCTCCCGCCCTCCCTCAATTGCGTGCACTATCCCCGTCACCACTAATCCCAGCACCACTACTCCCAACACCACTACACTAGGAAAGACACACCACTGACGACAATACGACACGTGTTTCGCCTCTACACGAGCCATCCTCAGGTGATATAGACTCTACGGTGGCTAAGCGCTAAGTCTGTATAAATAGCAGTTGTTTTGGCTCGCCGCTCACTTAGCGGTTAGCTACCGTAGAGTCTATATCACGAGTACCGTAAATACTTTCACATGCATTTTATAAAAAGCCGTAATTTTGACATTACAAACAGACACTTCAATTTTATTTATTTGTATAGATTTAGGCAAAAAACAAAAGGCATAAGTGTCGGTGCTACTATGTACAATTACGCCTCTTGATGCACATATTAGTTAACTGAAAAAGATTTCCAAAAACATCAAAGTAATATATAAAGTAATAAGTACCAAATAATTTATACTTGCTGTCTAGAACCGAATCGAATACAATTATTTTTCCATTAACACAGTGTTTTTGTTTTACTCAAATTAATCAATAGACTAATACGTTAAAACCATGCGAATATATTTCAATTGAAATCCTGAGACCGGAACCAATCCACTCAATCAATAAGCAAACGTAACTCGACAGAGTTACAGAGACTTATAACCTCTTTTTATTATCGCTACTGACCGACAAAGATAAAGAGTAACACCATCGTTCTTATACCCTCTGGATAGATACTATTATGGACTCATTTGATGAACTGCGAAGTGTGAATTGTAAATGACGTAAGATAAGAGTTCATGTCAGTGTCCTTATTTCTTAGATATTTAAAAAGGTCACTCAAAGGTGCATTGCACAAAGTATAATTTAATAAACAAATTCCACAAAGTAGTTAGTTAGTAAGTTTTCATTAACATTCAACGGGACCATAGATGTAATATTGAATTTACGCTTTCGTCAAACCTATACCGCAAGTCATAAACATAATTATGCTTAATTATAATAAACGTTAACGGTGGTAGAGTAGATGTGAGAACGCGCAGATTTTATGATCACGGTGAGAGGAGGCTACAGGAACCCCGTATTAAAGCCGTCTCGGTTGCTGAAGCGTACTCTTTTTATTCGAAACCTGTAGTGTTCGGCCTGAGCTGACCAATCATTGATTCTTTCTATAGACATAATTAATTTATGAACAAGCCTTCATATTTATACAACAAAACTGTTGTAAAACATATCTTAAGATATTTATAATGAGATGCGTTTACATGAAATATTAATTAATATTGTAAGCCACGGCTGCTTCTCCAGCATTCGTCACACATGGATGAGCCATTATGAGAACAGAATAATTTTAGTATGCAGCGAGTGTGACGACACCGTTAGAAAACTATCCTTTAGTTAGATTTTAAGGTAACTAAAGGTATAGAAAATATGTACGAGGGAATTTTCTAGCCTACAGTGCCATTATAAACCACCCAAGTATTACATGAAGATGTCTACGAAAATACGTAGACGTGCTACGAAAGTGCTACGAGGCTGGTTTAAATGAAATCACACGTGATATAAATAAAGAAATAAGCATAATTATCATTTTAATTAGTAAATTAACGAACGCTCGTTTAACTTTAACTCGTTACCTACCAAGGTTTCAGTTTTGGTTATTAGCTACGTGTGTGTATTAATTAGGTTAGACAATTACATTCAGAACATTTTAGGCAACCTAATTTAATTAAATTTATATCGCAATAGTAACTTTAATTCAATTAAATATTTATATTAAAACGGTTAACAGAACCATTTTGTAAATAGCCAATTAAAATAATCACAACATTTACTGCTAGTGGCTCACCAGTTAATGTGAATTATCGAGTGGCGCCACGCTTCAAAATATGCGCGATAACCGATAACTCACGGTTGAAGTGCAAAAAATTGGATCGAGAAAAATTATATAAATAGTCGAATTAAACAAGCGATTTCATTTGGGTGTTCGTATTGAGGAGTACGCGCTTGATGCGGCGACGGACAAGGTTAGCCGCGGTCGCTCGGGCGGCGCGGCGGCGTGAGAAAAAATATACGGCGTGCTTCGTCTGTAATTGGTTTGATTGAAACGCGGCTCTCGTTCGGTTCTTCCGAGAAGGCTGTCGGCTCGTTAGGGTACACTGTCCGCAGGGTAGCCCTCCTCGGACCGCTCCATGCCGCATTCCGCGACGGCACCGCCGATTTCGTATACCATAGACATTTTTCGACCGTGCACCGTGGCCAGATGACGGCATAATTGGTGCGACTTCCGTATCAGTACACATCGATCGCTTTGATCGCTGTATTGTAATCGTGTGCACACAGTGTGCACTTGAGCGAAAAAACAGGTCGAAGCAAAGCATGTGGCGCGCAAAGATCTGCACTTGTTGTGCACTTATTATCTACCTACGGGACGACGGCGAATAGGGGCCCCGTCGGGTGGCCGCGTCGACCGTAATGCAACAACGCACGGTAGATACGTTTTATAACTAAACGCTAAAATTCAAATCGCTTGCAACGATCTATCCAACCACTGTTAGTGTGAAAAGCTACGGTTTGAATGTAGGTACACATTCCCAAAGCTCATGTAAGTATAATTTATTCGTGGACACGTGGCGTTACGAAACGGCAAGTGCCAATGCCCTTTATTAGGTTTAGACAATGTTCTCCATGTGGAATGTGTTCTATTAATTGCTAGTCGAGTGTGAAACAAATTTGGAAAGATCTTTCAAATAGATTATGGAAGTAGGTACAAAATGTTGTTAACTTTAAAGTTGTATTAAATATTATTTGTTTAAGTTTACTTTACTCCATTTAGCTCAGGTTATAGCTAATAACCCGTGATTTCACAAAACAATCACTATTTCCATAACGCTTCTCCGTTACAAATTAATCTCAAATGTACAAATAAAGTGCTCAGTAAAATGAGAGAATAGAAATGTCGTCGTTTTACGAACTAGTCGTAATGTTTCGAGTTATTTATAAATAAAGTTTATTTATGTCACCTCTTGGGATACACGCATGACACATATGTATTTTTAAAAGTGCGCGAGAATTTTGCGCATTTATCGCTTTTATAAACGACGAAACAGTTTTGCTTAGCACATCACTATTGACTTGAATTTGTAAATTGATTACAGTCTATAAAAAAGGAATTGAAGACGGCATAAAATTATAGCGTTATCAAAATTGTAGAGATTCAGAGTTAAAGAATCTTAAACCCGGACAGTCAAAAGTGGAGGTGTTAGTTCATTATTTCTTTCGATTAATTAATGTACCGTCACAAATCTGGAATTTCAATCTCTCACGGATGCTCAGACGGCGGTCGATGTAGTTAGAAATCAGTGGAGTGAACGACACGAAAGCGTCTAGAAGCGAGCGCTTGTGAGGAATCAGTACATGCACGTTCACAATGCAAAAAATACATGAAACTGTATGATTGATTAATGTTGAAATCAGCTGTTTCCATGAGAGAAACTAATTAAATCTACATCACGTTTCAATTGAATTATAATGACAAATAACACTTACACAAAGGTCCGTAAGCGTGATACTGTTCGCCGTGTAGAATACCAAAAGCTCGGCGGGCAAGCCTCGAGAGCCAGGCTCCCTCAGTTTCGACGCCAGCAGGAGACACGCCGTACCTAGCAGTTGCAATTGGCTCTTCCCCACTGTGCAAATACTCAGGAATCGATCCAAGTACGATATAGAAAGCGGGAAGACTTCTTCTTGACAGCTTTGATCCTCGCATACCTGCATAAGAACAGATCTAATCAAAATTAATCCATATAATTTCCGAGAAACAACGCCGCACCCAGGCCGCGTCGAGTTTATCATACGGAATTCCTGATAACCTATATAATACATAAAAAATTTAAAACATATTTATTGCGATAAATACAAGACGCATTGCTTCCCTGCAGTTGAATTACTTATCAGTATCAATGATTATTGAACGTTTCGAGTGCTGAATCAAATTTATTCTCTTGCAACCCATAAAGCCGTTTTAAAAGTTATGACGAAGCTTAGCGACGCGACGGTTAAAATTTGAAATCAGATCGACATTTCGCAAGTGCATAAAGTGTAAATTCACTTGGTAACAGTAATTGATCTGATTTCGTCGAATATAATTGTACACTATGAACTCCGAGGAAAATAGGGAAAGTGGCCAGTATGATACTGATCTAAGTAAGTTGAGAACGTCACGAGACACTGATTGTCCTCACATAGTTTCGCACGGTAACCCGAAGCTACGCGGATGCAGAGCCTATTGTAGCACTGTGAAAATATTTATACCTACGTTTGCTACTCGGCTGTTTATCTCACGCTTGTGATCCCGCCGTCAGTTGACTAACTCTTAACTCACCTTAGTGTACCTATTGTTCTCAGAATATGAACTTCCATCATAGCGCACAGCATGGGAAAACTGATAGGCACGCTAAGATTTACAGGTCGTTAATCGTTATTTCGTTCTCATTGATGTCTGTTATACTTAGTGAAGAAATGGTATGCGATGGGATCTTATTGCAAAATAATATACAGTCGATGTAATCCATATAATCTATCCGCCCTATATAGGACCCATATTTATGTGGGACTTACAATAAAGAATGATGTTGTGTTAACTGTGTTACTTGTCGTAACAGGCGACTGATGGGATGTTGGGTTTGTGATTGTGTGGGCAATGGGCTAATCACCTATAATTTTTCTCACAATTTCATATTTTCTAAACCCTTTTTTTTGGCTAAACGTGGTCCGAGTAGCTCGCTGCTCATTGGACTCTGTCTTCCTTGGGGATTATATGCGCTATGCGATGTTTGTAAATAATATATCATTCTCCTATAAGTACTATATTAAATATTTTTAAAATATTACAATTATAAGAAATGTAATACCTATTGTTACTGTAGATATGATTAGCAAAAACTATAATATACTCATGCGATTTTGAACATCTTATCATAACGTTTTAGTTGAATAAAACGTAAGTCATTGACCCCGACCGTTTTAGCGTAGTTCACCACCTGCGTAATGATGTGACATGTACTTTAAAGTACAAGTTAATTTGACATAACGGTTAAGTGGTATATTGAAATGTCATTGACCTTACAACCAAAGTTTCGGGCTGAAATTTTGTATGTATTGGTTTAAGATGGTACATAAGCACGAGGTTTCGGCGAAGTAGAATCGACGCATGCGCTGCCATCGCATCGCACTAAGAATGACGTCAGCAAACCGTCTCGTTCGTCCCACGTGGCCGGCGTTTCACAGCTGACTGCCCTCTCATTAGTTCTTACTATTTTACAACATCTTAGTTAATAAATACATGACTTTAAAAATTTTAGTTAATTTTAAAATTAAACCAGTACATAGCCCAAGACTTAGGTTATATGAGGCATATTATTGCATCTAGAAACGATAATTGTTTATTTTTCAATAAATATCAGTTATTCAATAATACAAATTATTCAAATCTCAAAACTAATACTTGAGCAAAGTGATTGTGAGTACACCTACTAACAACGATAAGTGCGCGTCCGGCGTCAGCTGTGTGCGTGTCAAAATCAGCTGATTATTCAAATAGAACGAGCGAGTCGCATCGGTCGGCGACCGCCTGCGTTCCGGCCGGGGGCCCCTCGCTTGCTACCCGGTACGTAGCGAGTACATTCCAACCAACACTACCTACTTACTATACATTGTCGCGCTACCAAAAACATGGACGTTTTCCATGATATCAGTACTTTGTTAGGCAACAAGTAATTTGACATATCGAATGCCGAATGCATGGCACAAATCAGGTGTTTTTACTTGGAATCTCCGATATGTCCGGGATTTAATTTAAGAACATTCAAATGGATACAATTCTGAAATTTTGTACTTATTTTTATATTTTCATAATATTCTAATAAGATTCTAATGTGAACAAGGGAATACATAATCAGCTGATTGTATAAACATCGACATTGTTATCAAACAGTTACTTTAATACCTACCGAATAATGCATAAATCATACGAATTAATTATATACACCTTCCTGAAAACACAAATGGGTACACATGGTCACTACTGTGGTCAGTGTGAGGGGTTCGAGATAACGGCATCGTGCGGCGCTTGTGGTAGCTACCAGCGAGCAGTGGCGAGGGCATACGAGGGCCACGGCAACGCCGGGAGCAGCAGCGAGGGCTACACGTGGCCGGCAACAAAATGGCGAACGTTCGGTAACGCGGGTGTGGGTGCGGCATGCGCATGCGGCGCGGGTGCGCTCACCTCTAGCATCCACTCGGCGACCAGACGGCGCATATGCGGGGTGATCTCCGTCTGCAGGGTGCCGAAGTAGTTGGCCGTGACCGCGTAGCGCTCCTCGGTGCGTAGCAGATTGTCGAGCACGCGGCGGCGAAGCAGCACCGGGTCGGAGGCGGCGGCCCGGGGCGCCGGCGCCGGCCGTGGGGCCTCGTCGCTGCTGGGGCTCACGCGTTCCTCACACAGCAGGTCCATTGCACACCGCACTGCGGCTTATCCGGGCTCGCTAGCGGGCTTAGTCTCGCGCGGACAGCTGATCGAGCGCGTGCGAGTTTTGTTGCGACGACGGCGAGTGCGCGAGTCGCAGTGACGGCCGGTACGCGCCTCGCTGCCGACCGAACATATGATCGGCGGGGCTCGGGCGGGGCGGGACGGGACCGCCTGTGAGGCCCGCACGCAGGTTTCTCCCGATTCGAAGTTCGAATAATAATACATAACACGTCCTCTCGCTCTCTCGCACTCTATCCGACAATCGTCCATTCTTCTTTCTAGTATTTACAAAATGAGATGAATTCCGAGGATTGATTCTATAAAAGTGACCACACGACTACAATAAACTCACCCACTTGTGTATTATATGCCGGTACATTGACAGCGGTTGATTACGAACAGGTTGATTTTCCCATTAAGTGTGTGAAATTCAACCGACATGGAAAGGCACGTCGTTAATTATTAAAAACATCTCTGAGGTATCTATGCCTGCCTGGTAGCTGGTAGCTGGTAGCAACAACAACGTTTAAAAATGATTTAGTATAATGAAAATTATATAATTAAAATTAAGTTCATTTTAAATACAAAACAAAAAGGAGTCATTTATACAGTATAGCTGTTACACCTGACGATAATATATATAATATGATTAACTTAGGTACCTTTGTATTAGGGTTGCCACCCGTATTATAATATAGTATCGTACTATATTTCAGTAAATTGTACTATATATATATATATATATATATATATAAAAGTTAAAAAAGATAAAAAAAATAATTAAAAATTAATTGTTATATTATTTTAATATGAATCTAAATTGTTCATTTAGAAAGATTAAAAATAAATGTGTACTTTTTTCCCAAAAGTACTAGTTTTGTTTTGTTTTTGTTGGCAAAAATACTCTTTTTATTCAAAAGCTAGCTGTCCCTCGCTACTTCGCCCGCGTGGAATTTATTGCGATTTCATGGGTTTAAATTTTTTTGCGCGGAACCATAATTCTTTCTTAAAATAAAAGTATCCTAAGTTACTCCTTATAACATCAGCTGTCTGCCAGTGAAAATCCCGTCAAAATCGGGCTAGCCGTTTCGGAGATTAGTCGGAACAAACAGACAGACAGATAAAACTTTTAAAAATTGTTAATTTGTTATTAGTACCGTATATATACTTTCATGTGCATTTAGTAAAAGGCTCTTCTTAACGTTACTAACAGACTCTAGTAGCTTTAAAACTTTCATATGCATTTAGTAAAATGCTGTTATTTTAACATTACAAACAGACACTTCCATTTTATTTATTTGTATAGATATAGAAAAGGTGGGGCAACTTTACTTTGTATCGTTAATACAAAAATTTTTATTGTATTGTAGGTATATAAGTAGCTACTAGGTCACTTGGCTAACAAAGTATTATAGATTGGTTATACCTATCCATAAATCAAAAATATCTATATAATGTGGATGCCCCTAATTCCAGCCACGCTCCTTACACCAGCCTTTTCGCCTTTTTACTTCATTAAGGTTTCTAGTGGCCCTAACTATATATATTAAACTTAACTATAACTATGTAGAGGAAAGTATATTTTAAATATTACCACAAAATTATAAATCTGTTAGTGTTAAATTTGAATTCCAAACACGAAGGGAACGCAAACCGCTCATTTTCCAAATTTTTTTTTACAAAGTATAGTAATTATAAAATTAGGCTTATTTAAATTGTCTCATCTTTAGGGTTTGTAATTTGCATGAATAAGGCTATTGACATAGTAATGCAGTTACTTTTATTTAAATTTACAAGATTTAAATTTTCTTTTAATTGCAATTAATGGGGCTGTAGGTAATTAAATATACGAAATCCATGGAGTGCATTATGTTAGCCGTCAGGTTATTTGGTTTGACCGTGAGTGAAGTTCACTAGTTAGTGAAGTACCAATTAGGTACTAATTTCAACCACGTAGGTAATATAAATCAGCGTTGTCATAAACTGGAATAAATACCATTAATTAAGACATAACTTATTTTTAGACTAGACGACAGCGATAAGGTCATAAACAATTCATCATATTATGTTATAAAAATAGTTTTTGCTTTAAAAGTTTACTAAGAGATGTACTTGCTTTTCTATCAGACATTTGTTGTTTATTAAGCATACCTTATATGGTCATTATTTTTTGAGAAAGACAAAAACAAGTAATAATAATAATAAAAATATAGTTTAATAGCTCTAATTATGGCTTAGTGCATAAACGAAAAACTTATGGAAAGTGCAAAGTGCCACGGGGCCGTGCTTTGCGGCAGTCTGTGGAGGAGGATATGGATTGTGATGGGCTGTAATGATGAGGATGATTTGAAAACATGGATGATTAATTTATGAGAAATCATCGTGCTACATATTTTTAATAATAATTTGCTTTACCTATTTATTTAGTGTTAAAAGAAAAATAAAACTTCTGAAAACAAACACTTACGGTAAAGTAAGTACGTAGTAAAACATTAAAATAAAATAATTATTGTTGTATTTTCTTTATTTATTAATTCATATTTCATCTTCGTGACGTGCATGATTCAAAATTAGATTAATGTGTCTCTAAATCTTATAGGTACCTACCAAAAACTCAAAGGGCATAACCCTATTTTAAGCTGGCATTAGGTACACAAAAGGACGACATTCGGTACAGGATGGCTGGATTTTGAGCCATAACGGCTTTTTTGCTTATGGTCGTTTTTGAAATTGTTCTTGAAATAATATGATTGCAACGGAATGTTCATTACATTTTTGGATAAATAACCTATCGATTAAAACAAATGTTGAAAAATATTGTACTGTTATTGAAATAGCACACATTTTTAAAGTTGAATTTAGCCCTAAAATGCCGCTAATAGGGGCATCCAACCTATTAAAATAATATGTTATAAATGTTAAATATGCCTAATGCCGTTTAAGCTATCAAAAAGGTGTATCAGTATGGACTCAGGGTCGACCATTCGGCATCAATAATCTACGTAATCGGTATCTTAGTCAGCCGATTATTAGCGAAATCGTAATAGGGCTGCCAGTATCTTTATAATAAATGCGAAGCACTGCCCAGTTCAAGGGATAACATATTTCCGGATTTTGATTTCTCTAATTATCATCATTATTATAATCCTTCACAAGTCTGCTACCACACCACTCCCCACATAGGCCTACCCCAAGGAATACCATAAAACACGATCCTAAGCCACCTGCATTCATCGCCTTCCTTACCAGGTCGTCACTACGTCTAATGGGGGGCCGCCCCACACTTCGCCTACTGATAGAAGACTGCCACTCGAGAAGAATTCTCTAATATTTAAATGATTTTAAAAATAATTACTCCCAGTTTTAAGTATAAATTCTGGATATTGGTATTTTAAAATGCACTAGCTGACAATATTTTTTAAGGATTTAGTCACCACGTTGGGTAAGCTCAGGTAGGTATAGCTTTAGGCTGTGCGGCAGTGAATGGATTAATTATTTAGCAATGCCTGACTAAATCATCATAAATTATAGCAAAACAAAATGAAAAGTTTAAATAATTATGGCTTTTAACAAATAACCTGTACAGGGTTTTCTTTCCGAGTGAATTTGCTTACTCAAATAATTAAAAACGCTCTGTTTTGCATCAAATAAAAAAAATTGTCCAGGTATACTATACCTAATACTAAGTAATTATAAGATATTAGGTTCTATAATTAGATTATATGTCCTACCCTTTACATATTATACAATCATGGTAAAAACAGTAAATTATTAGTCATTTGACTTGGCAGCCAAAATATTTGCCATCTCTTATATTTGGGGGTGATGTGTGCCATGGCCTTATATGGGGCTCCCTTTTGGAGAAACCACTGCCTACATAAGATGGCCTCAAAGAGCGATGACTGTCGTAGACATAACGGTGATACCGCACCATCTCCTTCGAGCTATGGGACTGCGTATGTATCTGTGGGGTCTCACTCCTGGGATTTGTAGACAGGGTGTTTTTGCGTTCATGTATCAATTGGTGCTCGGAACTTCGACTCTAAAGGTGATGATGTCCCCTTACCAGAATGTGGGAAAATACGAGGTTCTAAGTTCGGCAGTTAATGTTTGAAAAGTGGAAAGAGCGACTGATCCACCCGAAAGCTGAAAGGAAAACTGTCGAGGCTGTTCGTCTGGTCCCGTCAGACAAGACGTAAAGGTGACGCGCATCATTGAGGCGAGGGTACAAGGTCGTGATCGCCGGTATTATATTATGCGAGCAGGAATTAGTCTGCAAGGAGGGAGAGGCAGATAATTCAGTTTGGAGCCGGGTGCCGGAATGCCGGGTGCTGGATGAGAGAATATTAGGTCTTCGTAACGTAACGCCCCGAGATAGAACGTACGGTGTTCGTCGTTCCCCTTAAGGGAGTGAAGAACGTCCTTTACTCCCTCAACAGGAAGGAGCCTGTATGTACACACACAAGCATTCCTGGAGCCCCGGAAAAGGGCGAAGAAATGAACACCCTAGGATTTCATCCGGATTTTCCCTCATATTAAAAAGAAGCCTAAATATTTACTGTAAATTAGAAGTAAGTTCTACATTTTAACGAGGTCAAGTTTCTTTATACTTACGAGTATATAAAACTAAGTCTTACTATCCCAATTTTTCTAAAACGTAACTAATTAATTAAAAGTAAAGTTACAGGTTTTAAAAATCCTACTGCTAGGCACATGCCTCCTATTATTTCTGCAAGGGTTTCAGGGTAAGGAATTGTTCACCGCGCTGCCCCAATGCGTGTTTGTGGACTTCACATGTCTTTGAAATATTTTTTTATTGAATTTCACAGACGTTCACGTTTTCTCACAATGTTTTAACAGTATTTAAAATTGTAATAATTGGTTCCGGCGGGGATTGAACCCGGGTTTTATTGATTTCACTCAATTAATAGTTTGTCCACCGGACACAAAATGTGAACCACTTTTGGACGGCTCCCGGACGCCCT